CCATCCTCCCCTACACCCCGGCCATTCGCCACCTTAGGGTCTTCCTCTTCTGGCCTCTACTCCGTCCTCGCCTTGCCTCCCTCTTGCCTCAAACCTCTGGCCGTCAACAGCGGTCCTCGGGCCGGGCTTACCTCCAGCAGAGCCGCCGACTTGGCCCCTCCCTCTCCGGGGTGCCGCTGGCCTCTTCGCTGCCCCTACCGGTGACGCCACGGTTACCTGCACCGTCAGCTCCGTGGTACGGGGCCCCGCCAGCCCCTTCCTGGGTACTGCTGCCGGCCCTGCCCCTGGCTCCGCTGCCGGCTTCCCCACCGGCTGTGCCCCACCTCACGGAGCCAGCTCTTCCCCTCCATGTGCTGCTCCCGGCTGCGCTGCTGCACCGCTTGCAGCCGTCCTTGTCAGTTTCCTCCTCCGTCCCGCCCTCGGTGGGGGGCGGGTGCTTCCCCCCCCGCTGGGGGTCCGCGCTCCACCTCCCCGCCTGCTGGGGCTCCGCGCTCCAGCTCTCTCCTCTCAGCCGCCCCGTTGTCTCGGTGGGGCCGCCTTTTGTCTCTCCTGGCCGGCGTGGCCCGCCCCCGCCGCTCAGCCGCAGCCAGATAAATGCCCAACTGACAGCCCGCGCCGGCACGTGGACTCCTTTTGGCTCCTCCGGCCCTGCGGGAGGTAAGCGGGGCCCTTTGCCGCCACGGGGGTCTCCCGGCATCCCCGCTCCCCTGGGACAGTCTGGAATAGTCTCTTTGGTGCAACAGTGTTCCAAGAGCAACACTGTGCTGTTTCTGTCACTTCTGTGTTCATGCTATACCATATTTCCACTAGATAGCCCAGAAATGGGGTTTTTGTTTGATATTACAGGTGAAAGAATTCATAAATGCAGAACTCCTGGCTCATTTGTATTCCTCTGAAGACCAAAATACTTTGATGGAGGAGTCAGCAGAACAGGCTCAGAGGCGAGATGAGATGCTTCGCATGTACCAAGCCCTTAAAGAAGCTCTAGCAATCATTGGCGATATTAGCACTACCACTATATCTACCCCTGCACCGCCACCTGTTGATGATTCTTGGCTGCAGCAATCCAGAAGGTAAGGGGATCTTCAGGTTGGGTTTGCTATGAAGATTAAGACAGAGGAACAGATCCTCAGAACTACTGATTTCCCATGTAGGGCAAGTGTTCCTCCAAGTTTAGGGAAATTTCTGAGGAAACTGAAAGTTCTTGCAAGATTGGGTCTTTCTGAGTTTTGCCCCCCCCCTTCTCTCCCCTCCCCCCCC